CCTGATATTCTCCAGCTATCACTCCTGGACACGGGCACTGTTCTTGGAACACTCTGTTTGCTAAATTCTGATCCTTTGGGCCTTACAGTCTAAAACCATCAGCTTGGATATGCTCCATTGCCAGCTCTACTCCTACAGAGTAGAGTCCACACAGCCAGACATATCGAAGCATCTCTCTTCATTACTCTCACCAACCCCTCAGGTTTCTCATTAAAAATATACTCCAAAGAGTCAAACGATGCCCAAAAAAATGACTTTTTTTTTCTTCAAAATCAGTCCTCCCTCCTCAACCAGCTACTGCAGAATGTTCAGGTGGCTTCCCTGCCTTTGGCTTCTCCAGCTCCTGCACCACACCCACCAATTGCGTATGCCTCTTCCACTCTCTAAATGCCACTGCCACCTTGCTAATCCAGCAATCCATCTACCTGCAGGGGCTTCCTATTTATATATCTGTATATTAATACATTACATATACTGTAATTTTTCATATTTTTGTGACCATCATTGTTATTGTTGTTCACTAAAGAAATGTCATCCATTTGCCATCACAACATTTTACAAATTGACACTTGAAGATAATTGGTGCTTGAGATAGAGGCTGTACTTATAGATCTTTTTAAAGGCCAGTGAATACAAGAACAAGAATAGAAAATTACTTCTGGTGAAGCATGTAGGTTTTGCAATTTGATATAACTAAAATGTTGCCATAATCTATATAATCCATATTCAAACCAAAAGTGTTCTTTCTCTCTTACATTTCCTCAGTAATGTATCCACACAAAAAGAAAGTGAGGACGCCACACCCTGAAACAGCAGCTGATTAAAGTATATTGTTCCATCTGATGCTACACAAGTTTACCGAACCTCAGTAAAACAATTTACTATCAAAAAAGTAAGTACAAATTATATATTTCACAGTGATATAATTTTTAGAAAGAACTTTAAATTTCATCCAGCCTTTGAGTCCCAGCTACTGAAACCTACTGTATATTAACCCACTCTAGTCCCTATGCTTTTTTTCAGATTTTGGACATGTGATAGATTGTCGTACAATTGCTGCTTTGTTTTGCAGTCAACCCAACCAATCTTACAGTGGCTTGCAAAAGTATTTTTCCTATTTTGTTGCATTACCACCTGGAATTAAAATGGATTTTTGGGGGGTTTATGACATTTTATTTACTCAACATGCCTAGCACTTTGAACATGCAAAATGTTTTTTATTGTAATGCAAACAAGAAATAAAACAAAAACAACTGAAAACTTGAGCATGCATAACTATTCACACCTCCCCAAGTCAATACTTTGTAGAGCCACCTTTTGGAACCAATACAGCTTCAAGTCTCTTGTGGTAAGTCTCTATATGCTTATATAGTCCAAAATACTCAATTTTAGTCTCGTCTGACCAGAGTACATTCATCTATATGTTTGGGGAGTCTCCCACTTGCCTTTTAGTGAACAGCAATTGGGTTTGCTTATTTTGTTCTGTAAGCAATGGATTTTTTTCTGGCCACTCTTTCATGAAGGCCAGTTCTGTGGGGTGTATGGCTTAAAGTGGTCTATGGACAGATACTCCAATCTCCGCTGTGGAGCTTTGCCGTTCCCTCAGGGTTATATTTGGTCTCTTTGTTGCCCTCCATGCCTGGTCCGTGAGTTTTGGTGGGTGGCCCTCTCTTGGCAGGTTTGTTGTGGTGTCATATTCTTTACACTTTTTAATAATGGATTTAATGGTGCTCTGTGGGATGTTCAAAGGATTTGTTTTATAACCCAACCCTGATCTGTGCTTCTGCACAGCTTTGTACCTGAGCTATTTGGAGAGCTCCTTAGTCTCCACAGTGCCGCTTGCTTGGTGGTGCCCCTTACTTAGTGGTGTTGCAGAGTTTGAGGCCTTTCAGAACAGGTGTATATATACTGAGATCATATGGCACTTTGATTGCACACAGGTGGTCTTTATTTAAGTAATTATGTGACTTCAGAAGGTAATTGGTTGTCCAGATCTTATGAAGGGGCTTCATAGCAAAGGGGCTTCATAGCATACATATGCATGCACCACTTTTCTGTTATTTACTTTTTATAAGGTTTTTTATAAGGTTTTTGGAAAGAAGTGTAATTTGGACTTAGCCCCTATTTTTCAGAATTTATTTGGAAAAAGAAAAAAACTTATTTTCACCGAAAGCGTACAGTAAAGCGTACAGTAAATTCAGTGACACGTTTTGCAAACACAGTGAAAGCATGGTAGAAAGTGCATCCCCATCTACCTCTCCTGTGCACCAGAATCACATTTTAGTATGCCTGATGGGAACATGGCAGGGCGCAGGAACAAAGGAGTGAATATCCATAATATATAATTGTATATGTGTTCTTTTTATTATTAAGATAGTTTTTATTCATTTTTGCATAGTAGAAAGTACAAAAAGTACATACAAAAGTAAACAAAAAATAAAAGAGAAGTAACAGCCATATTCGTAAGGATTCCAAAATGTAATTCGACAAGAACATACTGCCAGCCAATTGGAGGGCACATTAGATTCCGGCTAATGTGAGAGCCTCGTGGACACACTTTATAAACATCTTATCATACATATCTGGCACTCCACCCTGTACTCAAGGTCTCCTACATGTTTGACAGAGGAATGGGAAGCAGACCGCCAGAGTCACTGGGAAGCAGACAAGGACGCCATCTACACAGAGATGTCCTGTCCACGGTATGTCAACCAGTTATCCCAAAGGGAGTGAAACTGGGTCATGGTGCCCCTTTGCTGAAAGGTGATGCGTTCATATGCAATGATCCTATCCAGTTCCGCATGCCACAGCTTTAGTGTAGGCGGGGAGGAGGATACCCACTTATGAACCGCCAACCTGTTGCAGTGGTAGTTATCATTTCTAATATAGCAAAAGCATTTCAACTTTTAAACTGACAAAGGGTCACAAGGAAACAAGTGGGAGGGCTGCATATTACCTAAAACACATTGTCAGCCCTACACTATAAACTTGCAGCACAATTTAATGATTCTTAATAATTAGCTAACACAAAAATAGTGGTGGTAATGACAGATTTTCCCAGAAGGACAACAGGTGGCAATTATTGTGTATGTCAATTATCACAGATGTCAACCAGGGAATATACTTATTGGTTAACTGCTGATTTGAATTGAAGGTTTTGGTTTATAAAACACACTGTCCTCTTTTTGCTGATAGAGATATTCTCCATGCAAATTACATTTAACATTTTGACAGGTGCTTTTCCTATGCTGTAAAAAAAGAATGCATGTTTAAATGAATAACATATAAAAGATTTCACTAGGAACAAATTCAAACAGTTTTTAAACAGTTCAAGTGTTGCATTCTGAGTTTTTTTTTTTTTTTACTTGCATTTTTGTTTTTGTTTATACATTTATGCGTACCAATATTTAAGTGGAATGTATGTAATGATGACTACACTCATATTATCATTATTATTATTACTGCTTTAGGGGGCAGCAAGAAGTAGGATAAATGGGGATTGAATTTGACTTTAGTCCCAAAGGAAGAATTTTTAAATGTTGGATGTAAACTTAAACAAATGTAAATTAGAACCTTTCTTTCATTCCTGAAAGTTTTCTTATCAATCATTGTTATTGGATTTTCAGAAAACATATTTCACAGATGTTCACAGCAAACCACAATATGGGCTAGAAGAAGTGACAGTCCTTGGGACATCCAGTTCCAGGAGTGAGGACCAGGCCATAGAAAAACAGAAGTAACACACCCTGCAGATAAGTAGGAAATACAGAAGAAGTAAGAAGAGTAAGTGAGAGGGAGGGAAGGGGAAAGTGTAATGGGCATGGTGATGTAAAAGGGTGAAGGAAAAGAGTGTTATTAAAATGGGTAGGGTGAAGGAAAAGAGTGTTATTAAAATGGGTAGAAAAGAAAAAAAAGGAGGGTGAAAGGGTACAAGTGGGGTGAACAGAAAGAGGGAAGCCTATTATCTAAAGTAGCCGCCATCTTCTCAAATGTTATATAGAAGTTGAAACTAGATTTGAGTTTCTCATAGGGAATTTTTTGCTTTCTCCAGGACCTGGTGATCATCTGCTTCGTGGGAGTAAAGACATGAGTGAGTAGTACAGTTGTCTGGTTTCTGGTTTAAAAGAGATTCTAATGGATTGTTTCCAAATAGATCTATTTAATAAGGTGTAAAGCAATTGGTACACATGAGAACAGAAACATGTACTTGTGAAGCAGTCCCACCAGATATGTCTAAATGTGCCCTCGGCACTGCTGTCCCTAAAACACTGGGGCAGGGGGTAGCCAGGGACTGCTCTTGAAAGCCAACAAGGTATGAACTACCAATGCATAAGCAATTTGTAGCTGCCTTCTGCAAATAAAACATTGATCAAGCTTTTTGCAATATTAAGACAAATATCCTGCTAGTCCCTAAATCTTCTTCCCATATAGGGCATATTTTGAGCACCAAAGGGAAATAGGAAAAGAGTATTTGTGGATATATGGTAGAAATGCTTTCCAGGGTGTGGAGATTACTGAAACATATACCTTCAAAAAAGGCAAGATATCCGGGGTGTCTGTACACTTATTCAGGGGAGATATGGAATGTTTAATTTGCATGTACTGGAAAATGTTCATGAAAAGTATTGTGTGACTTTTTCAGTATCAGGAAGTGGTTATCAGGGGAGCCCAGTCTCTCATGTGGTGGTGACCAGCACAGGAGCAGTCTGGAACTTCATAGCCAAATCAATATCCAAAGACATAATCCATAAGAGTAGCAGGGGTCATGGGCAGGCAGCAAGATTCGTGGTCAGGAAGAAAGCTAAGTTTGGTACACAATAAATACAATCAACTATATACTAGGCAATACGGGACAAGCCCAAGAACAGAATCATATGTGAGGCTAGTATTTGTACCTGCTGACGTCAGGGTGGGGTCATCTCCGGAGGTGGGGTTCTTCCTTAAATTGGTGCGCTGTACCTTTAAGAGGAAACACAGTGCGCACTACACGGTGGCTCCACATGGCGGACATCACAGAGCGGCGGGGAACGGAGGAGACTGGTGCCGCGGGACTCAGGGCTGTGGGCAGCAAAGCAGACAACCCTCGGTTGTCTGTGGGGACCCCCTTCCGCGGCACAAAGGTGGGTGTTACAGCCAGAGGACCTAAAAGGTCATACATGCAAAGTAAGTGAGACTGTTGCCACCAATAAAATGTTTGGGTGCAATTGGTACATTTGCTGAAGCATGAAGGAGGGCCATTTGAGATTTTTGGGCTGCTTAATAACAGCTAGTAATATTTGGGCCTCTAAGAGATGGTTATATGGATTTAAAAAATGGCCGTGGCCTGGAAGAAATGTAAAATACATGGGTGATTTTTACCAGGAGGGTGCAAAGAAATATACAAGTTTTGGTAGAATGGTCATCTTGGCCTGCAAAGATTCTCCCTAATCATGATAAAGGATACTATTTTCAACCTGATAATAAGTACTAAAGATCATGTAACAAAGCATGGTAATTAGCTTGATTCAATGGGGTTGATTTACTAAAAGCAAATAGGTTGTTCACTTTGCAAGGGAATTTGCACTTTGCAGGGTAAATGCAGGGGAAATTCAGCTCAGTTAATCTTTCCTGAGATTATCCATGCCCATTTAGTCCAGTTTAGTTGCCTTTTTCTGCACTCTCTGCACTCATACGTTCCAAACGTTTACATACAGCTTAAATGCATCTCCCAAGCATGTAATTGGAAGGATTTGTTTTTTTCCCATGTTACCCTAGAAGTAACATTAAAGGAGGCCCCCTCTCTCTGTACAGTATGTTGTATATGTTGTTTGTTTTTGCATTGGGACATGTCGAACATGGAAGTATCTAGCTCCCCATGTCAATTGTTTCACAATCAATCGCCTGTTATTAAAATGGCCAGAATTTATTTTTTAAGATTCATCCCCCGTAGGCTTCAATCAGGTTACTAAAGGTCACAATTTTTGGACCAAGGCACACTTGCTTATTCCTGTTCTCCAACACACGAGACAAAAGGCTTCTGGAAAGCCTGGCTAAAACCTGGAGGTGGATGGAACATAAAAAATAAAGAATTATTGGCCCTTCTAAGCCACCTGACAACAGTTCAGAGAATGTGCATTATTGGTAATTGGTTACCATAGCAGTGAATGGCCCTCCCATTTCCTGAACTGTGGATGGCCTGGTTTCAGGTAAAACACATGGTTCACTCAAACCCACAGCCCTTCCCTAGTTCACATTTACCCTGAGTGGCCTCACATTTAAGCCCTTGGTAAACTAGCTGACACTTTGGGGTTGATTTACTAACCTTTTAAACACACCACGAACGTGTATACACCTCTGTAGTGTGTTCCCTCCCAGCACGATCTATGGGAGAAATCGAAACACCTTTGTAGTGTGTACACACCCAGCAGGTGTGTTGTTCAAAGCCCTGCAATGAATTGCAAGGTAATGTGGTGTAAATTAGCTCTATGTTATGTTGCTTGCGTTGATGAATGCAGGAATGTAAATGCATGAGCTAACCATTTTTGTCTAAACTGTGGAGCAGCATTATATATGCATCATGTGCATGAATTTTCCATATATGGCATTAGTGGAAATATGCTTTTAGAGACTTTTTGGTTGATAAATACGTTTTGCTGTGTGAAAATCACACACACCTGGTGTGTGTGTGTGTTTAGGTTAGTAAATCAACCCCTTTGACTTGATTCCAGTCCTACTTCGACAGCATCCACACAGCTGGATTAAACCCCTGAATAGTTTTTCTGGCAAGGGAACCTGAAGAAATAATAAAAGACTGGAAGCATACCTGTGAGACTAGTTTTTAGATTGATGGAACATTCACAGAGATAAACAATATTATATTTCCCTCATTTAGGGATCAGGAAGGAATTTTTTTCCCTTGTTGGAGCAAATTGAACCATGCTTTATAGGGTTTTTTTGGATCAACTTCCTCTGGATGAACAGTGAGCAACTGTGGGCACAGCGTTCTCTTTAGGCTTTTCTTCTTTTTTGTTTTTTTTAATAAGTCTATAGGTTGAACTCAATGGACATGTTTTTTTTTCAACCTGAAGAACTATGTAATTTATAGGTCTTCCACATAAAAATGTTTACCCAATAAAAATGATCATGCAGTACATTAAGAAAATTTTTAAGGTCAATGAAAAATGTGATATTGATACTGATAGTAACATTCTTATTTCCGTTTTCAGCATTCCTTCCGAATGGAGAACAGCGAGAATATGTCTATTCATTTTACAGATTTTATTTTGCTCGGATTTTCTGATGTTGAGTGGCAATGTCTGCCTGGAATTATTCTGATCATGTACTTTTTATCTGTCACTGGAAACATGATCATAATATTCGTGGTCTGTACTGACAGGCATCTCAGCAGTCCAATGTATTTCTTTATTGCCAACTTATCTTTTATTGAAATTCTGTACACATCTGTCACAATACCTAAACTTTTAGTTGTCCTCATTGGGAACAACAGAATAATTTCATTCAATGGCTGCATCACCCAGTTTTATTTTTTTTTCTGTTTTGGCTCAACAGAGTGTTTTCTTCTGGCAGTTATGTCTTATGACCGTTATACTGCAATCTGCAACCCCTTGCTCTATAACATAATTATGAGCCAACCTGTGTGTTTTTATCTAGTTTTGGCTTGTTGGATGAGCAGTTTTTTTCCAAACTTAATAGCCACTCTCATAATTGCAAATTTAAAGTTCTGTGGACAAAATATTCACCATTTCTTTTGTGACCTTTTTCCACTTTTGCAGTTATCATGTTATAACACGAACAAACTGCAGACTTTAAATTTTTTCACTGCTTCCACTATTCTTTTGTTTTCTTTCTCTTTAACGCTCTGGACCTACATCCGTATTATAATGACCATATTAAAAACATCTTCCATTAATTCTAGGTTTAAAGCTTTTTCAACTTGTGCTTCTCATCTTACAGTTGTTCTCATATTCTTTGGAACAGTGGCTTTTGTTTATCTTAGGCCACGCGTTAGTGGAGACTTTAATCTAAATAAAGTTCAGTCTGTTATTTATATAGTAGTGACACCAGTGATAAACCCTCTTATTTATAGTTTCCGTAACAAATATATAAAGATGGCAATAAAGTCGTGCTGGAAAAATATTGTAATATTTGTAAAATAAAATAAATCTTAGCATTTAAAAGTATCCAAAACGTCGCCTTCTGACCTGTTTGGCTATGATGGCAGCTTAACAGTAGCAGCTTTATCTATGAGTATGCTCCTTCAAAAATGAAATTCATGAGGGAAGAGTCTACTGCTGTGATAGTGTCTATTCTGATTATACTTAACACTGAGATACTTGAAGTGTGGTGTCATAACTTGAAATAGCCTGGCTTAGGGCATTAAGGATGCATAATTGGTTACCTGCACCAAAAAGAGTTGATGCTGGACCATAAAAACTAGTTGCCTGAAGCAGTACATTGCTGAGGGGAAGTGAGGTTTGTGTGTTTTACAAACAGTTTTTTTGTATATACTATCAAATCACTTAAAGTGACATTAAACCCTCAGATTTTTTAACATAAACCAATACTGTAATTTGTGCCTTACTGTAATCCATGGTAGTTTCCCTTCTCTTTGCTGCTCTTCCTGTTAAATCCTCAAGTCTTCTCATGCTGGGGGAGTACTTCCCTTTGCAGATGAGTGCTTCTTCCTGTAGTGCTGGCTCAGGTTGCAAACCTACACACAGACACCATGTATCCATTTCAGAGACAAGGCAGTCTGCTGCAAAACAGAAGAAGTTCTGCCCAGCATGAAAACAGATACAGATTTAAAAGGAAGAGCAGCAAAGAGAAGGGAAACAACCATGATTACAGTAAGGCACACATTACAGTTTTGTTTTATGTTAAAAAAATCTGAGGGTTTAATGTCACTTTAAGTTAAAAAAATTGTATTACCATGTGTTATTTTATATTGAGGGTGATTTTCAGTTGCAGGAGATGTTTTTGGTCAACTCGCTAAAGGTGGTATCACACTTTTCTAATGAATTTACTTAGATAGATAATTTACCAACATAGACGTTGGGAGTTTCCCTATTAAAAATACATCTAGCTTCTGATTAGTAATAATTACTAGGTTCTGTACAGTGTTTATTGAAGAGAGCAAAAATGAGACAGATGTTAAAGTCCAGATGCATCCCTAAGGATGAAGATTATAAGACCAAGTATGCCACCATCTTCCTCTACTTAATTGTGCTGCTTTGTAACAGCATCTATACCCTGTGAAAGCCCAAATACTTCCAGTAACAAAAAAAACTGCACAAAAAACTCTACGGTTCCTTGCATCAGTTATTACTTTATTTCCAGTACTGAAAGTCCTGCCAAGTGTACCAAATGAAATAATCAAATGTTAAATGCACACTCTAATGTTCAACAACACATCATGTAAATCCTGTAGATTTAAAATAATAATAATATGATTAAATAATAATGAATACCACATATAATATAATACATTTATAGAGTATATTTGCTTATCTATAGAATGGTAAAGGTAGTTGGCTACAACATAAACTAGCAATTTCGGCATCAGCCCAGTTTAGGTTATGACGTATGTGTTGTTTAGTGAAGAATCCATTCATGCAAGCCTTGTGCTGCTCCATAATGTTCTGATTAGACATGTAAATTTAATTTAATTCCAAATTGATATTCATATGAATTTTGTTAAATTCAGAAGCATCCGAATTTCCGAATTAGAACAAATCCAAATTTGATTGTTCCTTTAACGAAAATTCAGGTCCATCCCAATTGCTTTCAAAATGAAACTAAATCGGACAGGTCACTATTCTCTGGCCGATCTGGCCGGTCATGCAACTTAATTCCTAAACAAAAAATCAGACGGATTGAAATCTGAATTTCGAACCGAATCCATATTTAGAATCCGAAATTCAAAAAACGAAAGAAATTACAATCTGAGTTGATCCAGAATGAAACGAAACACATTTTTTGCAGGGTTACATGTCTAGTTCTGATCCCTCTCTGTCTGCTTAATATCCTACTTACTCTGTAATCTTTATCTTTTGCCTAGATTGTCAGCTATGTCTTATGTCCACTATGTTTGCCTCCTCTGCTGTTCATTCTGTTTGCAAAAAGTTATAAACGCACTCATTGCATCTACATATACTGTATATACCCCTTATCAACATTCTGCTCACCACATTCCCCTGCCCACTCCCTCCACAGCATCCTTTGCCAATTTTTCCTGCAGTCTCCATACCATGCACATGGCCGAAGTAAAGTTTAATGTGTGGAAATCAATATACTCGCTGATGAGGGATGATGTCACAGGAGGTCTCACACCCAGGGCCGGACTGGGACAAAAATTAGGCCCGGGCATTTTAGATGGAGCAGCCTAATCATGTGACCCTGAAGGCCCCACTCTGGCTGGACTCAGGGATTAGTGACGCTCTGGCTGGACTCAGGGATTAGTGACACGCTGGACTCAGGGATTAGTGACGCATCCCCCTGAGACTCCACAGAGCGCACCTGGGGCCCGGCCTCCTCTGCCGCCGGTCCGATGCTGCTGGGGCTCAGCCGCCACCACCTCTTCCCTCTACCATGCCGCCGCTTGTACGGCCGATACGCATGTAAGGGGCCCAGGCCCCTCATATGAGTATCGGCCGTACCCCCCTGATGGCAGCCCTGCCTGTGTCTCTGCTCTGTCCCCCCCCCTGTGACCAGCATGGGGTCGTGGAGCTCCTCTCACTCTTCACTCTGCTAGTGATTCCCCCTCCTCCCTGTCAGCTCACCTTCTCCTCCTGGACTCCGTTCTGTGTGAGTGTGTCTTTAACAGGACACAGGTGGGTCCACACAGTTCTCCTGGCTTGTCTGTCAGCTGGGGATGGGGGTGGGGCGGATCTCTGCTGTTCAGCCTGGCCAAGTGGGGACCGGCCCGGCCCGAACACATCAGGTTGATTGTGTTCAGCCCGGCCCACCGGGCAAGTGGCCGGTTTGCCCTATGGCCAGTCCGGCCCTGCTCACACCTCATTTAAGGAGGCACTACCCCTGATTTATCATAGGAGTGGTGTCTAATTGCCGCATTTAAAAAAATATTTGCTGGTGCTGTGAGACTCTGCAGGTGCATGCATTCGCTGGTGCCAAGCCTCAAGCTAATCGTACTTGTGCAAGTCTGCATATTATTGCCTGTGTGACAATACTACACATCAAAGAAACATTTGTAAAATCTTACCAGTACAAATGCCATGGATGGGATATCTATTGTTGTTCCGAAATGTTTGAAAATACTTTGTCAGAAGTAGAGGTGTATTTGGTGCATTTTGTTTTTTAAAGGACTGGTTTTGACATATACTGTAAGTGGTACTAGCCGTAAGAACATTTTGGAACTAAGCAGACTAGTTGGCAGTAGGTCAATAACATGATTAGGTACAAAAAGAGCATCTTAGAGAATCAGAGTGTCTCAGAAGTAAAGATGGGCAGAGGCTCACCAATCTGTGAAAAGCTGCATCTAGCTACCTTAGAATACCTAAAGGGTCTGGTATTGTTTGGGAAGGGGAACTGCACGCTTTAAAGTCATTTTTTTTCTTTAGAAATGTCACTTTTGCCGCAGCAGGTTCTATACATCGTACAGATGCACCACTTTACATGCAGTTTAAGGGGATGCTGCAGGCACAATATTTAAAGGATTTTTTCATTTTTTTTGTTACCCTTTAAGTGATGTTAAAATCACTGCTCCTTTAAAAACTGTATTTAAAAAAAAATTTCATTGATTCCTGTCCCCCAGGGCAGTGCCCAGATCCTCATACACTTTTTATGGCCAATAAATTGCAAATAAGGCTTCAAAATGGGAACATTTGTTTTTCAAAGTTCTTCCCCCGTAGACTTGCATTGAGTTTGAATTCGAACCGAACAAGGGGGTGTTCAGCTCATCACTGTTCCTCACAATGATGAGGAGTCTCCAGTGGGCAGGTGGGGAAATGTCTGATGCTTTCTTGGCTATCTGGGCTGGGACATCTGGGAGCTATGGGTTCATTTGGTAACCTCCTATGACTACATGCTGGAGTTTTAATTGTTCCCCCCTCCTTGCTTTTTGCCCTCCAGTCCTACAACTTCACTCCTCATGGGGAAGCATCATTACATAAGGCTTGAATCAACTACTAATCTTAAGGGTGATCATTCCTGTTCCTCCAGAAGAAAAATTCTCCAATACTTCAACCTTATTCCCAGCTCCGAAGCCAAATGGGGGAGTGTGGCCAATCTTAGACCTCTCAATATTTTTCTGTGAGTTTGCAAGTTTTGCACGGAATCAGTAGAGTTGTTCATTGTCTCCCTTCAACAAAGGGACTTTCTAGTGTCAGTGGACATCAAGGATGCCCACCTGCATGTGCCATTTTTTTCACCGCACCAAAAATCCCTATGCCCTCACAGGTGTTTTAAATATATTCACATTGTGAGCTACTTAGATAACCTTCTCCTGAAGGCCAGGGCTGAGCACAAATTGATGGTAGATATGTAGACCACAATTCTGATGTTGCTGAATTTTGGCTGGGTTATCAATTTTCAGAAGTTGTCACTGGACCCCTCTTACTGTCTGAGATATCTGGGGTTCCTTCTGGTTACAGATCAGACTCAGGTGTTTCTTTCAAAAATAGAAGGTTATAACCCTGCATTTGCAAAATCAAGCCCTAAGGACTAAAGTCCAACATTCAGTAAGGTTTAGGATGAGGGTCCTGGTTCTAATGGTGGCCTCCTTCGAGGCAGTTCTCCTTCAGACCCCTCCAATAGTGCATTATAGCTGCGTGGGACAAGCTTCTGCAGTCTCTGGATCTCCCCATGTGCCTGTCCTCCCATGCAAGGACCTCACTAGCCTGGTGGGTCTCTGATCCTGCACTAGAGGGGGGAATCCTGCCTCCCCCTAAATGGACCATGTTGACAATGGTTGCTGGCCTGTTGGGCTTGAGAGGTTATAGAGGGAACTTTACCAGTGAGAAAAGCCAGGCAGTCAATCATTGTTCTAGAACTCAGAGATGTACAACTTGCCCTACAGCGCTGGATGAATTCACCGCATGGGCAACCGAAGAGGGTGCAATCTGACAACGCCATGGCCATGTCATATGTCGATCATCATGGAGGGAACCAGAAGTCAAGCAACGCACAGAGAGGCAGAACA